TCACTAGGTGATAGCAAGAAAAATCTGACCAGGGACCATTTCAAGCAAAGCATTTCCTCTGTGCCCCAGGAAGCATAGTGGGCCTTGAGCACTGGCTTGGAATTCCACCTCTGATTCACTTGGGAAAAGTTGGATTTCACCTTTTTTTTCCAGCCATAATGTTTGTTCATTGCCAGATATTCACCACCTTTTCCTGCTGAATACTCACTTTATGGCAAATGTGGACAGTGCCAGAATTCTGGAATCTGAGAGGGAGCCTTTATCTTCACCAGAGATGACATAGAAGACGATCAAGCTCACTGATGTGTTAGATCTGTAGGGGAGAGAGGACAGCATAGACACAGGCTCTTCAACAATAAATTTAAATCTTAGTGAAATCTGGCAGTCAAGGGCAAATCTGGATGTGGCCTGGGACCATCCAATCCCACTATTGTAATGAGGAATATGACTCCCAGATGGTAGGTGTTTTATCTAAAATCACACTATTGGTGGAACAACGGGGACCAGGACTCAGGCATGGGTACCGGACATGTAGTCCTCTCCACTCAGAATCAGGGTATTCTTATCAGTCTCCTAGGAAAGGACCCGTTTCTTAATGATTATTATTTAATTTTAAAAAAGACAATAAAAAACAACCTCATGCACTTAGATTTGTAAGATTTGGCTCCCAGGTGTGACTGCTGAATGCTGGACTTTTTGTTTCTCTGGACTCCACTTTCCTCATTAATAAAAGGAGGCAGAGGTGGACTCCATTATCTCTGAGGCTCTGCTCATCTTGAATTCTATCACTTTGTGATTCTACAGCCTCTGGAACTTAAAGACATATTATAGCATATCAGCACATTTCATTATTTTTCAACATGGATATAATTTTATTGGGAACGTACAGAATGAAGCTATAAATGTTAAATCAAGTAGACTCAAAATGGCCCTTGGGAAACATAATCTTCCTCTTTCCTCTTCCTTCCACACCTCTATTCTCCCCTCTCTCTGCCATCTGTTCTTCATTTCTCTGATCCCCATAAAATAGCTCTGTCCTTTTCAAAATCTCTCAGCAAATCGAGAACTTTGGAACCAAGTCATTCAGTCTTGTGATTTCCAGCCTTCAAGATTTGTTTTTCTGAGCTTTTTCTATATTATTTGTATTTTACAAAAATGTTGGTCAGAAAAATACTATTATCGCCATTATGAGGAACCTGAGAATTGTAGAAATGATAAGAAAATTGCTCAAAGCCGCACAATTAAGGCACGGAACCTTGATTACACTCAATCTTGTATTTAAACCACACCTATTTGCTAACCATGTTTTCTCACAGATTTGTTTATTTAAATATTGTATTTGTTATAATTAATTCTATAATTAATAATTATTATATATTTTATTTAAAGGTAGTTAAACATTTTAAATAGGCAAAAAATACACATGATACAAAAATTCAAAAGGCAAAAATGGTCACGGAGTGAAAAGCTATAGACTCCCCACTACTTCTAGCCCCCAGATTCTCAACTCCTCTGGTAGAGAACAACTACTACCAGTTTTCAAGTAAAATCTAGTAAACGCTTATGTGTATATTCAGAGATTTAATTTCCAAAGAATGCTTCAAGTACCCATTATTTGCCAAAAGTGCAGACACCTGTCCTTTAGTCATTTTCTCCATAATTATAGAAATAATTATCCCTCTTCCGAAAGATGACAAACCTCATTAACTATTCTTTTCTTAAGAAACCCTGATTCTCCTTCAGTTTATCAGACAAACGATAACCCACTTAACCTGTTGCTAAAAATAACTTTGGAATCTATTAGTAATTCATCTGGCAAAGAACAGCAAGTCTAAAATTGTGCTGGTAGAACTCTTCTAAATCGCATGATGCTTAGGTAATTAACTCCCCTCCTCCAGGAGGCACCGGCTCTTGGCCCTAAGATTTCAACATGGAAAGAATGTTATGAAAGTGCCTCACCCATCCTAAGAGTGTTCCTATTTCTTTTGGCATTCCTGGAAGACGTCAGTTTCCTAATGGTGATCCAGGTGGCTCCACTGATGAATCTGAGAGTGATAGGCAGGAAAACCGGGCTCATCTCGAACTCAACCCAAAGAAATTCTCGTCCAATCCCCAGGTGAAGACAACAATTTTTTTCTTTACCATACCAGCCCAATCAAGTTTGAGCCATTGCAGATGCCACCCAGCATTCTTCCCAGTAAAGCACGCTGGGTGAGAATCTTCCTTCCGGCGCTAGTGAGGGACCTTCTCATTACCGGTGATGTCAGAGGGGGCAGGGCAGGATCTCAGCCAGATAGGCCTTAGTCTGTACAGTACCACTCTTTATTGCATTTTTAACATGTTTGACAGATGGACCGGTTATTCTGATTAGTTGTTCGTTATTCTTAATGGTTTTCCACATTTAAGGGCTTATATTTCTTTCCTTATTAGAAAAGTTTTATTGTGGTAAGAACACTTAACATGAGGTCTACCCTCTTAGCAGATTTTTAAGTGTACGATATTGTTATACATAAGCCCAATGTTGTACAGCAGATCTCTAGAATTTACTCATTTTGAATAAGTGAAATTTTATACTGTGATTAGCCATACCCTTTTAATCCTTCTCCCAGCCCCTGGAAACCACAGTTCTATCCTTTACTTGCACGAGTTTGACTGTTCAGGATCTGCCTTTTTGATTCTCTCTTATTCCTCTTGGCATATCTTCCAGCTCCATTCACGTTGTCTCATATAGGATGATTTCTTTCTTTGTTAAGGCTGAATAATATTCCATTGTATCTATGAACCACATTTCTTTATTCATTCACCTGTTGATGGACAGTTAGATTTCCCCACTTTGGCTATTGTGAGTAATACCACAATGAACACAGGGGTGCTAATATCTCCTTGAGATCCTGATTCAAACTCTTTTTGGTGAATACTCAAACATAGGTTTGCTAGATATATGGTAATTCTGTTTTTAATTTTTTAATGGGAACTCTGTGCTGTTTCCCATAGAGTCTGTGCCATTTTGCATTTCACTAACAGGGTACAAGGGTTCCCTTTTCTCCACATTCTTGCCACACATGTTACTGTGTCTTTGATTTTTTTAAAAGATGATAGCCACAGATGTGAAATGATATCTCATTATGCTTTTCGTTTGCATTCGCTGGGCATTAGTTTTCCCCTAGTGAGTACTTCTGGATGAGGTGTTACTGTGGTTCAACAAATCATACTAAGAAAAGATCGATGGGTTCTGTGTCAACCATATTTATTTCTTTAGGTAAAAATATACACATTTATTTCTTTAGGTAAAAAAAAAAAATTGAAAACTAGGATAAAGAGCTTATGGAGGCCCATTCCTTGAGTGCATTAAGGAAGTCGGAAATGCCATAAATGCCATTTCAAAGCAGAGGGTCTAATAAGAAGCCACAGAATTAACTTTTATTTTTAATTGAATTGACTTTTGTAGGAAAAAGTAGCAGATGATAACTAGGGAGCATGCTGGAAAAGCACCTAAATGAATGCAGCCCAGACACTGAATCCTTTGGAAAAAAATGAGGGAGGAGGCATTTTGTAGTAGACCACAAATCACTCATGGCCATGAGGGCCACAGAGGCCAGGTGAGTGTGTAAGTCGAAAAATGTGAGCTCTGGGGAGGGGCTCCAACAGTGACTCTTAGGGCCAAGAAATCTGTAGGGTCAGGTGGTCTTGTTCAAGCCCATTGACGGAACCATGGAAACACCCAGCAAGGGACTGTCCCCTCCAAGGAAACCAAGATAAGACTTTCAGGCTCTGTTCCACTCAATGTATTATCCAAAAAATTCTAGAACCAGTAGGACATGGTAAAAGGAAAAGTTAATTTAAGAAAAATTTTAAGTATGGTTAAGATATGGCCAGACCCCAGGGTTAGCAGGGAGCAAAGCTGGATGTTGAACCAGGTAGTGAGCTTACATATGGGATGCCAGGGAACCTGGGGTGGGGAAGCACCGCCTCTGGCTGTGGAGGGGCATCGTGGCTGTCACTGAGTCTCTCACACCCCCTCCCTGTCCCGTGGCACCATCGTGGGAGTGTGACACAGGGTCCCAGCAAGCCACGGACGCTTCCGCGTAAGGGCTGAGGAAGAGCGGAGACGAGGAAGTTCCGTGACACCTGCATGAGTGTGGCAAGTCATTCCTGAGGTTGCACACAGGTGGCATTAGGGTTGGGAAATAAGTGCATCGCCCTGGTCCTGGGCCGTCCTGCCTGGAGTCGCCTGCTCCTTATAAAAGGGCCTCCTCACACACAGAGGCTATCCTGCAGACACACAGTCCTAGATCTTCTTTGGATCCCCGGGTGAGTACTTACCTTAGAGGCCTTTCTTGGCACTTGGGTGCTGTTAGTGTGTAGCATGGGGCAGAAGATGCACCCGGATATTTGTTGAATCTGGGTAGCTCCTGTACTGGGAGAGGGAGGGATTGAGGACTTGGGAATCAATTTTAGCAGGTTTCAGCAGGTGAGCCTGAAGGGAAGGGGAGATGAGATGAGACGTACACCCTTAAAGGGAAGGCAAGTAAGAGGAGAGGCTGCCCTGTGCTGCCCACCCTGCTTGCAGTCGCCTCCCTGCAGAGCTGAGGCCCCCTGGGTGCGGGCGGCAGCATTGGCAGCCCCTCGGGAGCTGCAGTGGCACAGCCCAGGGCTGGGAGGCCCGCGCCTGGCCCTCCATGGCAGCTGTGGTAGGGTTTGCATTGGGATTGGCAGCTGGTTTAAGGCCTGGGTTCTTCTTGTGCCGATGAGGTTTGTATTCACACAACACCTCCAAAGGCAACTTTGTCTTGAGGCAGTGGTGGAAGGAGAGAGCAACCAGACAGGGCAGGAGAGCGGACAGTAGGAGGTGCTCGGAGGGGAGGGTGAAGAAGCTGGGTGAGACCCCAGGCACCGGACTGGGATCAGAGTCCCTGGGCACGACAGGGTTGCTGGCGCCCTAATGGCTGTGGCGACAGGCCTGTGTCTGTGAGGAGCCCCGCGGTCTGTTTGTCTTCCAGATTCCTCGGACACAGGAGAGATGTCTTACCAGCAGCAGCAGTGCAAGCAGCCCTGCCAGCCTCCCCCCGTGTTCACACCTAAGTGCCCGGAGCCTTGCCCTCCACCAAAGTGCCCAGAGCCTTGCCCACCCCCAAAGTGCCCGCAGCCGTGCCCTCCCCCTCCGTGCCAGCAGAAATGCCCCCCCTGTCAGCAGAAGTGTCCTCCCAAGTGCAAGTAACAGCGCCCGCACTGCCCAGGATCATGAAACGGAAAGACCCAGACTCGTCTCAGTCCCAGGACCCCATCACCCTCTCTGCCGTGGTGACACATGCGTCTTCTCTCAGCTCCCACCTGAGCTGACAGCTCACAGAGAAAAGGCCTGGTGCCTGAGCTGATGCCATGCGGCTGGACGACGCACAGCAACATCATTGCCTAATCTCGCTCTGCCATCTTTGTGTGTCACTGGGTGGCGATCTCTGTTCTGTGAGCCTTTGAGCGTCTATTCTTTTGCTTCTCTAATAAAGCAAATGTTTCATGCATGACTCACATTACTTTTGTTTGCATTTTCTGTTTTTAATCTCTTTGGTTAAGTACATTCAATGAGCAATACTTTTCTGTTGAATATTTGGAGTCAGGTTTCTTCATTACACAATTCACTTTGGGTATGTGAAGTGTGTCTTTTGGATTTGGTATAGCAAGTAAGTATATTCTACTGGTTTTAGAGACATTTCTACATCTTTCTGTCTTGTATGGCCTTGAAAATAATTCCTTAACTTCTCTCAGCTTTAATATCCTGATGCGTAAAAAATGGAAAGCATGTGTTTAGCTGAGTGTACTCACAGACATCAATTCACTCATGAATGTCTACCTATTATCTGTCGTGCGCCAGGCAGTGTTCTCTATCCTAGGTTGTAATAATGCTGACCAAAGTCTTTGACCTCTAAAGACACACAGGGGAAGGGAATGTGCTGCATTCATATGCTGGACAACATTGTTTGGAAAGAGTCTCTCAAGGTGGCTTTTGGGAAGAGACCTGAACGAATACAAGAGTGAGGCAGGAGTTCAACAAGGGTGGATCATCCAATGAGAGGACATGGCAGGTGCTCAGGCAGGGCAAGGAAACAGCAGAGGGAATGCTGATCAAGGGGACACTGTTCCCAATGAGGTCAGAGAGGTTGGGTTGGGAACATGTGGTCACCATCTGATATTTGTTGAAAGTTTGAGAGCCATACGAGCTGAGGTACAATGGCCTAAGAATTTATATCTATGTGATGCTCAATTATTACATATAATTTCTTCTGCATAGCATTTCTACTAAACGGACACACTGTCTTTCAAAATTATTTCAGAAAAGTTTAGACGACCTGAGGAATAAAAAGCAACTTTTGTGAAATGAAATATCATTGAGGGGGTGACTACACAAAAAGTAGGTCTAATAGGTTTTCCTCTTATAGGGAAAAGTGCACCATTAATTCTTGTGCCACATAGGTCACAAAAAGCAGAGGGGATTTGGTCTTGCTGTGCGCCGAACCCTAAGATAAGAGTGTTAGGGGTTGACCTTGCTATACTGACAGGGACTCTGTGCTTTCATTGCTGTAAATGATTTATTTTGTCTGGTTTTTCTTTAACAATAACAAAAAGTAAAAGGTCTTCTCTCTTTTGGGGGGAACACAACACATTCAGAAAGTTCATAATCTTCAGCTGTACAGGGTGAATGGTTAGAAATTAAGCAGTTACATATCCAACCCCAAAGTCAAGAAAAAGAACATCACCAACCCTTCAAAAGACCCTTCATGTTTCCTTATTCAATCAGATCTCATTCTAAGGCAGTATAGCGTGGAGAAGACAATTAATGTCTCCATAGCATCTTACTATGCTGATGGACAGTGACTGCAATGGTTCCGGGGGGACTTGGTAATATGGGTGAGTGTTGAAACCGTGGTGTGCTCACGTGTAACCTTCATAAGACTGTATGTCAGTGATATTTTATATTAAAAAATTAACTAAAAATAGAAAAATCAAGATTAAGAATTTCTAAATATAATATAATTTCTAAATATAATTTATAATAAATAAATAAATAAATAAATTCCATCCCACTCTTTCACCAGCACAGGTGATCTCTATCCTGACCTTAAAATAATATGTTTGTTGACTTTCTTCCTTTATCTTTTGCCACCGTCATAGAGTCATCTCAACAAACTGTATACTTATATTTTCCACTTTGTGAACATCATGTAAATGGACTCATATGGCATGCCATCACTTTTGTCTCTCTGCTTTCAATTGACATTATTCACAATAGTGTTTTTATGCATCATTGTATGACTATAGAACATTTTGTTTATTGTAAAGTTGGTGGGTATTTGAGTTGTTTCCTATGTGGAGCTGTCTGAGCCGTACCTCAGTGACACAGTTCTTTCAGGCTTGCTGAGACACATGTCCAGAGATTTCTCTAGGTCATATTCACAGGAGATACACATCTTCAACTTGACAGGTAATGTCCAACTGCTTCCAAAGTACTTGCAGGAACTTAAAATCCTACCAGTGATGTAGTGCATTTCCTGATTTACTCTATCCCTTTAAACTGATTGATCACTGCCACACTTCTGACAGTTTTACCCATCTAGTGTGTGTGTGTGTGTGTGTGTGTGTGTGTGTGCGCGCGCACGATGATCTTTCATTGCACTTGAATATGCACTTTATTAGCGAATAAGGGATTTCAGATATTTAAAAAAATTCTGTGATTGACTTTTTGAGTACATGCTCTTTTGTGAAGTGCTTGTTGTCCACTTTGCTTTTGAGGTGTTTGTCTTTTTCTGATTGATTATGAAATCTTTATGTATTTTGCATAGTGATATTTAACAGCAATTTCCAAACCAACGGTACCTAAGGTTTGTGTCTGGTGTTTTTCTCCAGAAATTGGAGGCTTATATCTTCCATTTAAGTCTGTGATACATTTTGAATTCTCATTGTCTATGGTAGATGGTAATGGCCAAGGTTTATTATTTCCTGAATCAATATCTAATTGTTTGATCGCCACTTGTTGGCAAGATGACATTTTTGCCCATTGAATTGCCTTAGCACCTTTGTTGAAAATCGGGTACCGTATATGTGTTGTTGTATTTCTCAACTTTCCATTCTATTGCTTGCTCTGTCTGTTCTTATGCCTAGAGCATACTGTCTTCATTAGTGCGGCTCTATAATAAAGTCTTAAAATTAGTCCTCTAACTCTGGTTTCATCAAAATCATTTTGTTGTTCACAATACTATTCATCCCACATGTATTTTATAATTGAGTTGTTGTGAATTTCTCCTAACAACCCACTGGCAGTTTGTCTGGAATTCCACTGAATTTCGAATCCATCTGGGAAGAAGTGATAACTTACAATAGTCAGTCTTTTTATCCACAGAAAGGATCATAAACATGCTCTCAGCACAAAGTGTTTAGTGTTCAGTGTAAAGATGATGCACATCATTTGTTCAGTTTATCTGGCTTTATTTTTGTTGGTTATATATACAGTATCTCAAATTTTTATTTCATAATTGTCTGTTGCTACATATGACCTCTTTTACCTTTTCCATGGCTATGACCCTGCTTCAAACCACTTGAATATCTGAATTATGGCCATAACCTCCTTATTAACTTCCTGCTTACATCTTTGCTCCCAATACACAATGTTCCACAAGCAGTTGGAGTTCATCTCTCAAAGGTTAGCGTTGCTTCTCTGGTGAAACCCTCTCGTCTGAACCAGGATAAGACCCCAAGTCCCTACTGTGGTCTACACAGCCGAATATGAACTGAAACACACTTCTGAAAAACTACCTCACTTATTTTCATTCTCATCCCCTCTCTCAGAAAAGCTTAGAAAGGCTGGAAGTTGGGTGACTGACTGGTGGGTTGGGGGGCAAAATTGTGTTTCTCTTAAATTTGTGGGCCATCTAAATATCATACAATATATACATCATTCCAGCCTACTAAGAAATCATTGAAACACATCAGCATGGTTACAAAAGTAACAAGATACTGCACTAAATGATCAGCATGCCAGCTGTTTTCTTTGACACTTGTTCACCCCCTGCGTGTCCTGTGTTCCTGCTCGTTGGCGCAGAAGAGGAACCAAAACTTGGGGAGAGTTCTGAAGAATGATACTCAATAATGAATGCTCATGCACATGCAAACGTATCTTCTTCTGAAATAAAGGCACAACATCTGTTATTGTTTGATTTTTGAGGGATCAAATAAATGATATTAGCTCCTCTTTTGTTCCCAGTTCCTTCTTTCATTTCTTCATTCTTTCCTCTCACATGTTCACCTTATTTACCACCTGAATTTCCCCCTTTCTTCTTGCCCTTGGAAGGCATATTTCCAGCATTTAATAGCCAAGCACCAAAATTGGGAGTAAGGAAAAAAGATGACATGTCATTTTACTTGTCCTTTAGAACCTCAGAATCAGATGTGAAATTATTGTTATTTTATATACACTCCATGTTAACATTAATTTTGAAGAACAATAGCAAGGAATGTTCAATCTACTTGTGAAAGGGGACTGGAGTCAGGAGATGCTTCAAATAAGCAAACATGAGCGAACTCATTGCAGAGGCATCTGCCGAGACTCCCCCAGGGAGACAGGAGGGCTGAGAGGGAGTAATCCAGGCACGTGGAGCAACCTCAGGAAGCACACAGACACTGCCGGTAATCCAGAACCTTGGAAGGCTGCTTGTCATTCGGGAGGTATGCAGTAGATGGTGTAAGGGATGCTGTTACACGAGGCTGCGTTGGGGGAAGTCGGTGGCCCCTGGTTGTAGAGTTCTTTGTGGTTATCTACTCTAATAACCACCATTGTTCTGTTATTTGAAGTAAGATTATATCTCTATAAAGCTAGAAAATATAAGCTTTTAAATAACAGGGAAAGGTAGCATCTTCTCTGCCCCAGACATCATCTTCCCTTTACCCAGAGGTACCTGCAGTTGATACCTAAAGAAACCACTGTTAACATGAACAGACATCATTATAGGCACATTTGTATGCATACTAAGTAGAAGAAGACATGGAACACGAAGGTGTTATGGTTTGTATTTTTAAGGCATAGTGAGTCCAGCTGAAGAGAAGGAGAACTCATAATGATACTGAAGGGCTGCGAGACCGCAGGTGAAAGCATTTCAGAGCTAAGACTCCTACAACTGTGTGAGAAAGCAGATATTAAGAACTCAAAATAGGAGGACTCATCATTTTCTTGACTCAATGTTTTAATTTGGAATAGTCTTATTTATTCCCAAAATGAATGCTGAGTAAATCTGTATCTTCCCAACCCCTTTTTCACTTCCCAATGTTTGCTTGTTACATCTGTGAATACTGACAAGGTGAGGCCTCAGTGACATGCCATCTGGAGGCCTGTGGCTCTCATGCCACACGAGCTCTCACGCCCACCACTGCGGCCAGCTGCTGATCCCGTAAATTCACACGGGTCCCTTTTACCCACCATCTCCCCAACATTTGCAATTTTTTTTTCTTTTTCTGGATGACAACCATCCTATCAAGAGTGAAGTGA